CCAGTTACAATACAATTGGTCAACTTTGCAACTTTTTACAATTCAATTGTCAACTTTGCTATCGCTTTTCTAGTTACTTTTGTCAAATTCTCTTAACAAGAGCATTAATTTGACTTTGATATTCGAACGAAATTAAATTTCAGCATCAGTGGTTGGGAAACAACACGAAGTGGGTGACAGATGTTAAAACGTTGTATTCCCAGAGAAAACCTAGTTAAAAGAAAATCATAAGTTATGACACAATCTCTAGAAATAGATAATCTTGATTAGTGGAAAAGTTTTGGGTTGGCTCATACCTATCTTTAGGATCGAAACTGCATAGTAAAATAACACATGATTGTAAAGAAGGAATGAATTGGAAAACCCCTTTTTATTTTTAGTTTAAAACTAGGCTAGGTCCAATGCTCCAAAGTTAGCTTAATAGACACATGATTTGTTGAAAAGATTTGATTGGTTTAAGCTATTGTAGGGGTTTTCCAGGTTTCTAGTCATAGTTTCTATATATAGGCTTAGTTGAAATAGTAAATAAACACATGGAGAAAGCATGCTTGTAACTTGAGTGAGAGAGATGCACGCGTAGCTTAAATGTAACATCATTAAATTATAGGACTAGTAAATCAAGGCTATCGGACTAAAAGGATGCAGGCGTGGCGTTATCTAAACACCAATGAAAATCCACCACGAGTAAGTCGTTTATCATTAATATCGTAGAGCTTGAACATGTTGACTAATTTCCCATCAATTTAAGTGGCTTTATTTTTCCTATAGTTCTATTTTTCTGCCTTTTTATATACAAATTTAAGGCTAATTGGGGAATTTTTCCAACAAATGTGATTTATTTAAAAAATATCTTAAAATTGAAAAAATGACAAAAGATTCGAAAGAGTAATATAGTAATTTGTAAAATGCTGTAATATGATTCAAAATTGTTTTTTTTCTTAATGACTGCCTAAATTTCTTACAGTGAATGTTTATTTTTAAGGACATTGGACATCATCATTAAAGTATAAATTTTTTAAGATAATGTAGGCCTGTATAGAGCACTAAGAATTTATTTGGAAAGTCAGATAAAGGTGCCCACACACAGAGAGAAAATGGTGCAGCGCCAATTATGCTCGACTAGTAGCGCTTCGTGAGCGGGTAATTTTTTTAGTGTGCATTTGGCCACTCGTGGTCATGTGGAAAATATCTATCGTGTTTGATATTTTTGACCACTCGTGGCCGATGGCACACTGTGTGGAGGTAACCATGCGCGACTTTCTCAGACGACGAACATAACACGCATGCGTTATTAGTATTCAAAGATGGCGGCGTCCAGTGAAGAGGTGACAGAAACAATCCTGGAGGATAAATTTAGTGAAATATGGCAAAATTACTCCTGCATTTATAATATTCGATCGTCTACGCCGAAAATAATATCAACTGCATTCCCTCATCTTCATCATCGCTTGAATTATCACTGTTATAGTCCGCCATTTTAATTGATCATGTGATAGGCTAACGTCAGATATAGTTGAGCGAAAGGCGCGTCGTGTATGGAGAGTAGTGTGGTTATCAATTCGACAAACTAACTTGCATTATAATATGTTAAAGTTAGATATAATAGGCTTGGTAATTCCCTTTTATTTTTAATATCGAAAGCCGTGCAATATCATAATATCTATTTTGGACTTTATATTGGAATTCCCCTTTCTAAAAATACTTTTGCAAAACTAAATTGATATAGAGTTTAATGACAACCTGACTGCAATGTATTTGGCTAATGAACAACAGTTTGAAATGGCACCGAAAATAAACTTTGATTGATTTCTAACTGTCAAAGGATCTTGGCGTGCACAGCTTTAGCAAATGGGACTTCAAATTTATTGTCCATGCATTAGCTTATCTATTTCAAACTTATTTTGGAATTCCCCTTTTGTTATAAATAAATAAAGCTGTACATGCGCATTTTAAACATAAGTTTATCATACTTTAACACACACGAAGCTTTGTAAAGGAAGTAGGCGGACACTTATGTGAGTATAAAATGACTTTATAGACTCGCTTCTCCAGTATTAACCAGTTATTTTATTTCTAAGTTCTAATCTTGATCTGCGTGTGAGATTCTAGTGACTTTAAATAAGTCATATTCACTCATTCACCAGTCGACCCAGCTGTATTATACGGGACAGATCAATGCCTAGAGATTTGGCCAAGGACCAGCTTGTAGACAGGATCCTCTAAACCCAAGTTCTTATCCTTGTGAAATCATCTGGTAGACAGAATCCTCGTGTTTCTTAGTTGATATCCTTGTGAGAAAAATAGCCATTTCTCTCTTTATCTCTCCCTTAATGCAGAAAAATGTAAGAATTGAACCGAATTTAATTTTTTAAAAACATCTAGCCTACCCTGGTTGACTGTCACATGCTTTAATGAAACGTTTCAGTAATTCAGTTTAATATATACTTACTTACAATGAATCAGCTCAAATTTTTATTTATTTCTTTCATATTAGGGTCTAGTGATTGCAAATATGTCGCAAAAGTTATGAAATAATGGAAACAGACAAATCATGTTGACTCAGCCTTAGTGTGGATGAGTTGTTGCCCTTGTTTCTTGATTTATTCATCATAAACAAATGATAGCCTACATACGTTGGTAAAAACTATAGTTTTAGAAATAAGTTGTGGCTTGATCCTGATAAGTTGAGCATTTGTCCGGCATGACAATCAAAGTAACTCATCCATTGTTTTGAGCATATCGTAGTAATGCTTCAAATTTTAAAAAATTTATAAATCGTCCCTGCTCCTGATCACAAGAACATTTCAATTCGAACCATAATTTCATTTTTCAGGTTCCATGAATAAAATGATGATGATGTGAATCAAAATGGCCACCACCAGGGACTTCCTTTTTTTCATGCCTGACTCATGGAGAAAACATGCGGTACGATGATGGTGTAGTAGTCACTGTTGTGGGACAGAAAGACGAAGGAGGGTCAAAATCAAGGAAATAATTTAGAGTTAAAAACTTCAAATTTACTCAAATTGACCCTCAAAATACTTACATAAATTAGAAATTCAGATACACACCCTCTCGTATTTCCTTCTCGAACACTTTTTCTATCATAACCATCACTCTTTTTGAATAAAATAACATAAATCTCTAAGTTGGACAATGGAAAATAACTATCGACGCCATGATGCCACGTTACCAAAAATAGTTTCGCGTCTGGTTGATCAATCATCCTTGGAAAACCCCTTTTATTTATAGAAATTTCTAGGAAACTTCTGGAAATTTTCGTGCTATAAATAGATCACACGTGATAATGTCCAAACCTTGTCCAGTCGAGGCGGCTCCCGAAATGGACAGTCTGGCAGCTCATCGAAGCTCAGGTTTCAAACTTACCTCAGATATACCAATGTTTTCGACTACTGACCCGACATTCTGGACCCTCCCCTTTCCACCTAAAGCCCCCCCCACCCCCCCGAAAAAAACCTCAGAATATCATCAAAATTGGAGGAAGGTGCTTGTTGGGCCTCTATATCCAAACCCAATATCTTTTATTCTGATGATATCAGGGATTATAACTTCCGCGTTAACTGCCACCGATTGAACTACTGTATGCAGTGAGCAACGAGGGAAAACTTGCTAATTTCAAAGAAATATATAGCGGATTGAATTAGGAAAAATCAATTATGCCTCTTTGAATCTCTTTAAAATAAAATTAGGTTTTGATTCCTACGTTTCTACTCCTGATTGAAAGTCTCAAGATAGGGAAATTACTATTATCAAAGCGACTCTGTGACACGACCACACCTTAACTATGTGACCTAGGCCAGTGCTTACCATCCAACACCTTAGACTTCAATTTCATTTACCTATTTTCTTTTTTAAGTGAAATTATTAAAAGAAATTGGGAATAATCTAGAGTAAGAAGTGTTTGGATATGCCGCCCGAAACGTGTTCTAACACAATCCTCATCAGAACGAGTGGTAAAATATTTGCCTGTTAGCTCAAAGGGTGGTCATGCAAACAAACAAACTCTGGCTACTTTCAGATATTTTTGTTTGTTTGTGTGTACAAAATAGACCAACTGCGTTTAACAATAACAATTTTCTAAGATGACGGAGTTTTGGTCAATTGAGACTATTTTATCGCTGATGGTTGTTTTTCCATTAGTCATTTATATTACGAAATAAGAGAAAACATTTCTAATGGCGACAAAAGCGATGGTGGCGTCAGTGGGGGTATAGGATGGGGAGGGAAGGTGGTGAGGGAGAGGGAATGAGGGGTCATCTGCCCCGAGAAAACTAGTTTGTACCCCCAATCGTTTTTCTTAAAAAAATTTCTTTGGGAGAACCTCCTCAGACCACCCATAGAAGGCTTGGGGTAATGCGCTTCAGCGTCATAGGCCGAAAGTTGTCCCCCTATTAAGTCAATCTTACCCCTTTTTGTTTCCCCAATTCCAGGAGGCCGGCACCGCCAGTAAACAGACATGTACATTCTGAAATTGGAAAAGTCCAGCTTGTGACCAATCAAATGTTCAAGAGACAGCGATATCCTGTTAGTCGAAAGTCAATACAAAACCTATTTGATAACCCAATTAAAAACACTAATTATACGGTACTATTAGTTTAAAGGGATTGTAAAGCGATTTTCTAATCTTTGTATGTGTATCAGGGATACTTATAGCTTCTATTTACACCATTCTGATTTTCTAATCTTTGTATGTGTATCAGGGATACTTATAGCTTCTATTCACACCATTCTGATTTTCTGTCGTCCGACATCCATGGTTCCTTTAATCCAGAAAACCCGGTATTCAAAATGGGTGACGACACCATCTTGAAACGTGTTTCTGGAATTACAGGAACCACAAAAAATCTTTATAGAGTCCCTTTAACAAGCGACCGTCTTCAGTTACAAATACCTAAAAAATATCTATGACTTAGAAAATATCATAAACCGGACATTAAATAGGATACAAAAATAGGAGTGTAGGAAATCGACATGTTATAAAAACACACGTGTCTCCTGTTATCTACTTATTGTTTAAATTTCATTGTCTATCTACCAACTGCGGACAAAGAAAATTTGAAATATTGAGCGAGATTCATTTTGAGTGAATCGGAATTAAAATTTTTAAAGTTCGAAAACCTCTGGTTGAAGTTTGTATAGTTGACATCTCAATCGTAGAGTATTGTTAGGTGTGTAAGAAATAGCTCATTGTTATTAGCTACGTGGACTTTCTGAAAATTATCAAGTTGACCCCGAAATCGCAGAGTCGTACCAAGTGTGTATAATTAGAAAAATCAGAGATGATGAACTTGGTGAAAATAGCCATCGCTTCTTTATTAGGTAAGTGATTTATTTATTTGGCAAATACGCCAGATAAACACTATAAGCATCTTCACAATATCAAGCTATTATGAACTGTGTCTTATGCCTTGACTGCCTTAGTCACTATTCTTGTTTCACATCTTCACAATATCAAGCTATTACGAACTGTGTCTTATACCTTGACTGCCTTAGCCACTATTCTTGTTTCACATCTTCACAATATCAAGCTATTACAAACTTAGTACACGCGTACTTAGGCTATACCTTGACTACAATAGTCACTATTCTTGTATCACAACTTATCAAGCTATTACAAACTGCTTCTTTTACCCTCACTGCAACAGTCACCCAAGTTTGTAAATGCAGCTATTTGATCATATACAGTCAATTGTTTACACCATTTCTGTCGAGGGCTCTGATTGGTCGAATTCGCTGGCGTACACTACAATCAAATCCGTGCGTTCTCTGAGACGGGAAAGGTGACAAGATATGATACTAAGTTCGTAATAGTTAGACATTGTGACCATGCATTATGAGCTATGTGGACTCATAAGGATGTCGAGTTGACAAACCCAATTTCAGGGCAGCAGATGATAGACCCTACTCACTTATAAGCAACACTTTGCCGTCAAAATTAAAAAAAAAACACACATTCCAGAACTTTTACAAGAAAATTGCAAACATTAATGCATCCATAATGATTTTTATTTTGTGTTATATTTCAGTATCGACATTTAGTGTGAGTTGCGTGAAGATACAGAAACGCGACACTTCAAATTTACCTCGTCCCGATATATCTAACTTCCCTAGAAACAAGCCGAACTTCCCTAGCAACAATCCAAACTTTCCTCGTCCGGGTTTCCCGACCAATGATGGAGCAAACAATTTTCCTGATATGGATGGAATCCTAGATGGACTACCGGATATAAAAAATATCATGGACAAATTCCGAAATAACCCAAATTTCGACTCATCCAATTACCAAGATGTTGTGAACGCCTTGGTCAAAGATCCTAAATACCAAGACTTTTTGAAAGAGTTCAACCCTCAAAGTCCGAACGACATCAGCCTTGAAGATTTGGACAAAATTTTGAACAGAATATCGAACATTCAAAATGTTGGCTTTCAAAATGATCAACGAATTTTGACTAGTGATTCTAGTCGAACTGTTGTTGCTATGGGATCAGTTGTTATAGTTACCGTGACGTCATTATTTATGTTGTTATAGAAACTACAACTTCCGTTACATCTCCACAGAAACATTATTCAAGACGAGGCTGGTTCAACTGTTTTCATTGGTAGGCCTATTCTGATTCGTCCATTTGAAATAATTTTGATCAATCAGACCTGTTAATTTAGCTAGTTCTTTTGTAATGGCCTTTTCATTTAGTGCAATATGTGAACAATTTGTTTAACCTTAAATATCCAATTTTATAGACATTTTTCTTTTGTTTTATATTTCTTGTATTTTGTTGTAATAAATCACTTTTATATTCTGTGGCTTTGAGAAAAATTTTACAATCCACCTTACTGTAGGCTACCTGATCAGGCACTCGAGGATAGATTACGCCATGCAGTGTTTAATTAAGACATTAACCTACTCTTTTTTCTATTTCCAACTGTCGATTGATTTAAACAATATGGCCATAGATTATCCGAACATCGGAACATCTGGACGATTTTTCCAGTTAAATTCGGAAAGATCTTTTGAGCCCCTTAGGATCCCATGTTCTCAAGTAGGCTACATCGAAACAGTTTAATTCAGATGTACCTTCAGCCCCTAAGAATATTGAGATCCAACGTCTAGCCCCTTTTCTAAAGTACAGCAGAACACAGTTTAATTTAGATAGATCTTCAGCCCCTCAAGAAAATTGGGATCCAACGCCTAGCCCATGGTCTAGAAAAATCTTGCAGGTTAGCAACGACAAAAACCTTTCAATATAATTTTATTGCGTTTTTTAACAACAGAGGATTAATAAACTGCACAAAGAATGCACGAGATTGCACATGTATTTCAATATTTTATTGAGTTAGTTCCAGCCAATCAACGACTGTGGGACATGACGAACCTTCCTTGTTTGACGGCTTATTTAACTCATTCGGCACTTCTCGACAGTTTCCGTGTAACGGAATCTACACCTCTGTTAACCGTATCTTTTGGGTTTTAACATGGTCTTATTAACGAGGAAATCTGACAAACGGGGATGTGGTTGGGACACCATTCACCTCAGTTATGGTCGTTTCTGTAAATCTGAATCTACCTAATTCTGAATGATACCACCCGGCAATTCTCGACAATTTCTCAGTCATCTGGTTTGCCAATCACTAAAAGACATTTTTACGCTGTTAAATCTGATTCGATTACCATAATCAATATGACGTCATATATAAGTCACATATGAAGTCTGTAATAATAGAAATGCTTATATATGACGTCACTATTTCTAATACTAACCGCCTTTGACGTCATATAACTCTTATTAAATGGTTTATAAGATGGCTTTCTGATTTTTTTTTTTTTGTATCGGGGACACTGATAGTATCAATTTGCACCCTTGGACATTCTACTTCCAGTCAGATGTCTGTGGTTCCCGTAATTCCTCTAAAACTAAGCATTTGATGACGTCACTAATCGTAAAAGGTCTTATGTGATTCAAGCATATTTTTAGATTAGTGACGTCATCAATCACTTAGTTTTTTTAGTGGAATCGCAGGAACCACAGATGTTTGACTAGAAATAGGAATGGTTTAAATTGATACTATCAGTGTTCCTGATATATACAAAAAGTTTAGAAAACCTCTTTAAGCAAAAAGTCACGATTGTTAATTGTTTAAAAGAACGTGAGTAATGTATACAATAGCATAAATTTAAAAAATACTTTTGTATTAGGTATAGGAAATTAACGAGATTTTAAAGCCCAGAAAATTAATATATTCGGTTTTGCTTTTTATTGTCTAAAGACCTCGTGAATCTTATAGAATACCCCAATAAAAAGTGACTCTTACAAAGTTTCGGGGAAAGATATCAATGATTGTGAATTTTGGGCGACATGAAATTTAAATCATAAAAAAAACTTTTTGAAAAATTAAAAAAATACCTTTGTTATTCATGCTTAATTTATGCTTTCTGTATCTATAGGCCTTTGAAATTTATATATATGCGTTGAGTCTAAAGAAATGGCTTTTGAATAGGTCTTTAAGATTTTGAAACAATATTTTTTGTTTGAATTTGCATTAAATTGCACGCTGCAATCGAATTGGACCATAAGCAACCAGTTAAAGCGTTGAGCACAGTCACGTTTACATAACAATACCTTTTCAAGTCACCAAGTTGGGTTCAGAAAAATCAACGAAAATGCAGAACATTACAATTTGTGTTGTTTTTTTGGTTTTAGGTAAGTTAGATATTTTATTTATTTAATTTGATATTATTTAATTCATTTTAAGAAATTAATATGATTTTATTTTTACAATTACAAATTTCACTGTTAAAATAGTGCTCAATACATCAATTGTAGAGTGATATAGTAATACCACTGTTAAAATAGTGCTCAATACATCAATTGTAGAGTGATATAGAAATACCACTGTTAAAATAGTGCTCAATACATCAATTGTATAGCGATATAGAAATACCACTGTTAAAATAGTTCCCAATACATCAATCGTAGAGCAATATAGAAATACCACTGTTAAAATAGTGCTCAATACATCAATTGTAGAGCAATATAGAAATACCACTGTTAAAATAGTACTCAATTCATCAATCGTAGAGTGATATAGAAATTCCACTGTTAAAATAGTGCTCAATACATCAATCGTAGAGTGATATAGAAATACCACTGTTAAAATAGTACTCAATACATCAATCGTAGAGTGATATAGAAATACCACTGTTAAAATAGTGCTCAATACATCAATCGTAGAGTGATATAGAAATACCACTGTTAAAATAGTACTCAATACATCAATTGTAGAGTGAAATAGAAATACCACTGTTAAAATAGTACTCAATACATCAATCGTAGAGTGATATAGAAATACCACTGTTAAAATAGTGCTTAATACATCAATTGTAGAGTGATATAGAAATACCACTGTTAAAATAGTACTCAATACATCAATTGTAGAGAGACATAGAAATACCACTGTTAAAATAGTGCTCAATACATCAATTGTAGAGTGATATAGAAATACCACTGTTAAAATAGTGCTTAATACATCAATTGTAGAGTGATATAGAAATACCACTGTTAAAATAGTGCTCAATACATCAATTGTAGAGTGATATAGAAATATTTAATTTATTTATTATTTTATTTAACTGAAATTAATATGATCTTATTTTATTATTATCATTGTTTATCTGTTTATCATATTTCAAACTTGTTTTGTTTTAGTGTCAGCTCTGTTTGTGAATGGCAACGTTACCATGGCATACCAAACTACACAACCTAATTCTGATAGTAAGTAAATTCTGAAAGTAATGTCCATTTAAAAGAGATGTTAAGGTGACATTTCTATGTGGTTTCTCTACAAGAGATATGGATATACATGTATTATAGATAAATATTATTAGCTATGTACACTGCCTGAAAGGGATGTCAGTTGGCATAAATATAGCAAAACAACAACAAAAAAAAATACATTATTAGCTATGTGAACTTTCTGTAAGGGCTATCGAGTTGATAAACCGCGTGTCAAAATAAAAACAATTTTCTCAGATTTAATGGTGCTACAATTAATTTTTTATATTAACTCGTCTTTTTCAGATTCAGAGAATAGTTTAAGTAGAAATGGTGTTGATATAGTAACATTTGTCATGGTTTCTGTGGTCTCAATGTTGATAGCCTATTTGAAATAATTCTTTGAAATAATATTTAGGGGAAGGGGGTAGGGCTAATATTTAGTAATAGTAATATCTTTATCTTTATCTGAATACTCAACAACAAAAATTACACGTTTCTATAATGGAGGTCTAGATGTTGATGGTTTTTTCTTGAAGGTTTCACTTCCCACTCATGATCTGACAAAACTGTTTTTCAAGAGATGTTCAAGTCATTGGAATATTCAATCAATGAAATGCTTTGGTCTATGAAAGAATTATCTCCTACAGGTTAGAAATTCTGAGACATTTGTTAAACTTTGACTTGTTTTCTCAGTCGATGTGTAACTGTATTTTTGATTGGTTAGAAGATTATGTGACGATATGACAAATTTTGATGCTTCTGGGTTAAAATTCGACTGAACTCGGTTTGAAGAAGAATTTTGTTAGATCAAGAATGGGGTAACCTGCCTAAAAACACAAAATGAAACGCCTAGACTGATATTATAATCAGATACTTGCTAAGATAAGTTATAATTTATGATTTATAAACTTATTTCAATTTTATATATATTATTTGTGTTAAAATTTTAAACATTTTGTTGTGTGATTTCTTTCCTAATAAATATATTTTCTGATTTCTGTGTTTCTATAGTTTGTATATATACCGTTAAAAACTCTGAAAGTAAATAAAACAAGTACTACCGCAAAACGAAACCCTAAATCCAAAACAACATATTGGCAAAACATTGGTAACAGCTAATGAACTTTTCACATGATGAAGTATATGGACTAATTCATTTGCCATCTCTTCCCATGTTAAAACACGAAATTCAACCTTCTATAACTTTTTCCAGAAATCTCGTTAAAAGCTTTCCAATATGTCGAATGAAAGCCTGACCAATTCTCAATGTCTCCTAAAAAATTCATTATATGATGACCATGAAAATTTTGAGCTACTAAAATTAGAGTTTGGCACTTCACAAAACGACTATTTTTAGAATTAGCCTTCCGCCTTTAGGTCTCTCATCATCTCACCAAATCTGAAAGATAATGCAATTTCAGACATCAAATTCCAAATCTAGACCAAATTTTACCCAATAATAGGCAGGCAAAAACCCCAAAAGGGAGAGAGAAAGAAGATTTCTAAAAATAGCCTGGACTACATATACAATCATTTGCATAAAATGTTTTAGTGGAGTGAGTCCTATATCAATCATAAATGAGGAAGTAACTGATGCCGAAGAGAAGTCAAGAAATTTAGGATCCAACGCCTATCCCATGTTCTGAAGTACATCGAAACAGTTTAATTCAGATGTACCTTCAGCCCCTAAGAATATTGAGATCCAACGTCTAGCCCCTTTTCTAAAGTACAGCAGAACACAGTTTAATTCAGATAGATCTTCAGCCCCTCAAGAAAATTGGGATCCAACGCCTAGCCCATGGTCTAGAAAAATCTTGCAGGTTAGCAACGACAAAAACCTTTCAATATAATTTTATTGCATTTTTTAACAACAGAGGACTAATAAACTGCACGAGATTGCACATGTATTTCAATATTTTATTGAGTTAGTTCCAGCCAATCAACGACTTTAGAACATAACGAAACTTCCTTGTTTGAAGGCCTATTTAATTCATTCGGCACTTCTCGACAGTTTCCGTATAACGGAATCTACACCTCTGTTAACCGTATCTCGAATACGGGTTTTGACATGGTCTTATTAACAAAGAAGTATGACGAACGGGAATGTGGTTGGGACACCATGCACCTCAGTTATGAATGGAAAAAATCCTTTATTCATTAATTTTCGGTCTTTTCTGTAAATCTGAATCTACCCCATTCTGAATGATACCACCCGGCAATTCTCGACAATTTCTCAGTCATCTGATTGGTCAATCACTAAAAGACACTTTTACGCTGTTAAGTCTGATTCGATTACCATAATCAATATGAAGTCACAAAGCTAATCAGATTTTTGTTAAATTTAGATTTATTATCCAATGAGTTTACAGTATTTCTTAAAATCTGGATTTTATCTTAGTAAACTTGTGGAGGGAGAATAAGGCCCATGATCGAACAACGGAAAGTTTGTTGAAGTCTATAGAATAATGGTCAGTATAAGCCTAGGCACGTTTATGACACAATGCTGTTTAACTCAATAGGGGAACAATGTAGAAGGGATAAGAAAGAACTATGTAGTTAATGTATTAAAGGGATTGTAGAAGGTTTTCCACACTTTTTAATGCGTAAGGGGAATCACTGAGAGCAGACGTCTGTGGTTCCTTTAATAATAGAAAAATGTTTATATATGACGTCACTGTTTCTAATACTGTTGATATTACCTAACCGCCTTTGACGTCATATAACTCTTATAAAATGGTTTATAAAGAGGCTTTCTGATTTTTTTTTGTATCGGAGAAACTGGTAGTATTAATTTGCACCCTTGGACATTCTACTTCCAGTCAGATGTCTGTGGTTCCCGTAATTCCTCTAAAACTAAGTATTTGATGACGTCACTAATCGTAAAAGGCCTTATGTGATTCAATCATATTTTTAGATTAGTGACGTCATCTAACACTTATTTTTTTTTTTGAATGGCAGGAATCAGAGATGTCTGACTAGAAATAGGAATGGTGCAAATTTATTCTATCAAAGTCCCTGATATAAACAAAAAGTTTAGAAAACCTCTTTAAGCAAAAAGTCACGATTGTTAATTGTTTAAAAGAACGTGAGTAATGTATACAATAGCATAAAAGTATTTTTGTTTCCAAATTTAAAATATAGCTTGCCAGGCAAGGTAACATACGCCCACAGATAGCTTTGATTGTAAGTACAAGTCTTTGTTTGCTGCCCATTCAATTGTAGCCTGTAGAGTCAGCACGAGTTGCACAATATAGTTAATAGATATAAATATAACACTATTGAACGATTATCCAATCATCACAAAAATCGATAGGGATCATCTTCATAATGACATTGACACACAAAATCAAAATCAAAAGAACCTGTAAAGAATTGTCGCCTGTAGAGTGAGCACGAGTTTCACAATATAGCTAATAGAGTAAAACGTCAAGTCAGACACGATATTTCGGTGAAAAATTATCCGATCATCACCAAAATCGATAGGGATCATCTTCATAATGACATTGACTCACAAAATCAAAATCAAAAGAATCTGTAAAGAATTGTAGCCAGTAGAGTGAGCACGAACCAAATGTGAACGGACGGACCGACCGACAGACGGACCGACAGGGTGATTACAATATACGCCCATCTAATGTGTGGGCGTATGAAAATACTTTTGTTTAGGTCCTCAATTGAAAAAAGGAAATTAACAAGATTTTCCAAGCCCAGAAAATTAATACCTTGTGACTCATATAGAATACCCCAATAAAAAGTGACTCTTACAAAGTTTCGGCGAAAGATATGAAATATAAATCATAAAAAACTTTTTGAAAAAAATACCAGAGTTAATCCGTACAATTGAAAACTAAAAGACTATGGACAAAAAACCTATAAAATTAATATATTCAGTTGCTTTCTGTATCTATAAACCTTTTGAAATTATGCGTTGGGTTGGGCCTCTTTGAATAGGTCAATAAGTAATATTTCTTGTTTGAACGTGCATTAAATTGCACGCTGCAATCGAATTGGACCATAAGTTCCCAGGTAAAGCGTTGAGTACAGTCACGTTTACATAACAATACCTTTTCAAGTCACCAAGTTGGGTTCAGAAAAATCAACGAAAATGCAGAATATTAAAATTTGTATTGTTTTTTTTGGTTTTAGGTAAGTTAGAAATTTTATTTTTTATATTTTGATATTATTTAATTAATCTAATTTAATTTATTTAAGATGTTGTATTATTCTTATTTTTTTATCTTTTAATCATGATTTTGTTGATTCATTCCATCGTCAATTTAATTTCAAACTTGTTTGTTTTAGTGTCAGCTGTGTGTGTCAATGGCACCTCTACCACTGCAGCTCCAGCTACCACTGCAGCCCCAACTACCACTTCAGATTCAACTAATAGTGCCGAAACTAGTTCACCTGGAACTTCTGGTGAATCTAACGCAACTATGCCTGCTGCTATTCCCCCGACTACCGCAGCTCCTGTCAAATTAGCTGATATTGAGCTTCCAGAAGATATTAAAACTATTTTTGATAAGTATGCTACGAACAGTACCGTCAACTATGAAGCCTTCTTAAATGATTTGAAGGGCGCTACAAGTTATAACTATTTGATAGATACGTTGAAAATTGAAAAAGGAGAATTTACTAAAGATAAACTTGAAAGCCTTTATAAAGAATATCTAGGTAAGTATTTGTGAAACAATATTTGATGTGAACTCTCTTAAAGGAATGTTAAGTGCACATTTTACATTGATTGATGATTTTTTTAAGAGATATAAACATACTCTATAAACAATATTAGCTATGTGGACACTCTGAAAGGGATACCGAGTTGATAAACCTAAATGCCACATTAACAATATCAGCTATGTGGACACTCTGAAAGGGATACCGAGTTGAAAAAGCTAAATGCCACATTAAATTGTTTCAAAATTATTATTTTCTTTTTTTTTGTCTTTTTCAGAGCCAGAGAATAGTTCAAGTAGAAATGGTGTTACTATAGTAACAGTTGTCATGGTTTCTGTGGTCTCAATGTTGGTACCCTATTTGAAATAATTCTGATTGTTTTATATTTTATCTTTGTGTTTGTAATATTTAGGGGGATGGGGTGGGGCTAATATTTAGTAATAATACTCAACTACACGCTTTTATAATGGAGGTCTAGATGTTGATGGTTTTTTCTTGAAGGTTTCACTTCCCACTTATGATCTGGCAAAATTGATCTTCAGCAGATGTTCAAGTCACTGGAATATTCAACCAATGAAATGCTCTGGTCTATGAAAGAATTATCTCCTACAGGTGAGAAATTCTGAGAACATTTTTTTAAACTTTTGTCGATGTGTAGCAGTATTTTTGATTGGTTAGAAGATTATGTGACGATATGACAAATTTTGATGCTTCTGGGTTAAAATTCGACTGAACTGGGTTTGAAGAAGAATTATGTTAGATCAAGAATGGGGTAACCTGCGTAAAAACACAAAATGAAACGCCTAGACTGACATTATAATCAGATACTTGCTAAGATAAGATATAATTTATGATTTATAAACTTATTTCCAGTTGTTTTGTATGTTAATTACCTCGATTCTATAATAATATTTATTTTTGTCCTAAATTTTTTGTTCTTTGATTTCTTTCCTAATAAATATATTTTCTGATTTCTGTGTTTCTATAGTTTGTATATATACCCTTATAAAACTCTGGTGTTGCTCTCCGTGTCTGATGTCCTGTCTGTGAGGGATTTCATTGAATTTTCTGTTACGACGCATCGAATTTTGTTACGAAGCATTGAATTTTCTGTTAAGATAGAAGGGAGATAATAACCATGAGTTATAGAAGATAGCGCCACGTGATCGCTCCTCTATAACTCATTGATAACAACTTGTGTATACAATCCAACTACCAATTACTACGACTACCAACAACTACCTAGTTTGCGATATCAGCATCCGCTGGAAGCGACCGTTAACTTGTCATCATCTACCAACCAACCAATTGTGTATAGAGTATAACAACGATGAAGTATATTCGATCTACAAGTCTCAAGTTGGATTTACAACTACAGATTCAATAAAAAAAAGATCAGTCCAGGCCATCTTTCGGCGAAGCTGTACGTAAGCTACATAAGATACAGGGGGACAGGATGATAGAGACTAAAAGGGAGTTAACCTATGCCACAGCAATGAAACTTGGTAAAGGTGTAGGTTTTCAACCACAGGGACATGTCCCACTATGGGGACATTTGCACTTTTCTTTGGGGAAATTTGATGTATCATAGCTAGTCACAGGCTGTGAAAAATAAAAACTTTCCAACTACAATATAAACAACATCTAATATGACTACACTATACACAACCTATATTAACATTATCTAGGAGTACTCAGAGAATTATTACTATCAAACTATGCGAGAACGTGTCTGGTATCCAATCATAGATGCGCTTTGGATATTTGGGGACATCATTTTCATGCTGGTTCGATTTGGAGACACATACAGAAACAGGTTGAAAACCACTGCAAGGTATACTACCTCCTTGGATGACCGCCGTTAGGTCTCTGACACTTTTGCTCTCAGTTGCCGTGGAAACACCCCTCTTTTCCCTTTCAAAAGAAGGCAAGGGTGGTCCCTCTGGTTATAATTTTCAAAGTCTTGATTCACGCAATCAACGTTAGTTGATCTGAAAGGAGAAACAATTCCGTCAGTATCAGGAAATGTTGAATTTAATGTATACCAAGTTTCATAACTCCTTCCGAGTCAACCTTTGTACATTCTCACTTGTGTGGTGAAAATACGTAGAATGTTGAATCATGAACATATATTTTTGATATTTTGTGATATTTTGTGAAAAAAAAGTTAAGGCTCGGGGGCAATCCGAAATTTCGAGTTGCGCAAAATATTCTCAGAGAATAGAATGATAATTTTATTAGGTGTGTCTAAAAGTCATTCGTACTAACTGATCCTTGAGATGTTTCAGCCTCACTTGTTTTAACTATTTCTTGTTTACCTGTTTTCAAACCAGTTAAAGCTTTGTGACATATCGATCTGTAATTATCAAAGCAAGACGTTATTTGGGCTTTGTTAGAAGAAAAGAAAAAAAAGTAGAATGTTGAGTCATAAACATATCTTTTTGATATATTTTGAAGACAAAAGGAGTTAAGGATTTAGGGCATGTCGACCTGTTATTATTATCTGGGTGGGACGTACTGAGGATGTTGACTGATGCCTTTCATATTGAAAAAAGTAAATTGGTTGCTTTATAAAATTATTATTTATAGATAATCATTAACCTGTTTACTAGAGCATCATAATTTTATTTAAAAAAGTATTCAACATAGACCGAAACATCTGTCTTTATTCCAGCATCTGATAGCTATTGAGACAGAACAAATAGGCCCTGTTAAATGAGTTACTTTCCGCATTTCTGCAGATGCGGGGGTATTTAAACTTATTTTGATATCTCGGATCTTCAAAGCCCAGATATATTTGGAAAGATGAATATATTGAGTAGTTCAGTAATACAATCATTTTCTCCCTACATCATTTATGTCTCCGGTTCCATCAAAGTATTTTATTGACGAAACTGATCTCGTATCGGCCATTTTAAACGGTGTGCGCAGCCAAAAGTTCAAAGGTCGCAGTGACGAAAGTTACGTTGATGCCCAACACTATTATACAATCATCTTTAAGGTATTCTTTAATATTATGTTAGAAAAACGCATCTTCTGAGGTGTGGAAATTGCCATAAAACAGGGTCTATTTTTTCTGACTCTACTCCAGCAGACAATTGTCAAAATATGCTGGAATAGAAACTGGTGTTTCGGACTACATTCAACATAATTGCCATTTTTATTTTATTCGGTGTCGAGTTCTCAGGGTTGTTATCAAGAGATGTTACCCTATATAAAAAATATAAATCGTGAAAAATTTTTTTTTGAATTTAAAGGTACAGGTTTGCTATTTTCGGGATTATATAATCTGGGTTTTCAATATACGTAAATAGGCTTCAGAAGTTACTAGAAATGTACGAAAATTGCATAATTCCTGTAAATAGTCCTGTACTAAGACTATATAGGAATTTTACTCTCTATTTCTATATGTATTTTCTATATATGGCATAGTTTCATGAAAAACGAGTCGTTAATTTGACTTTAAAACGCGGATAATTCTGGACACACATGGAATTTTGACGGTGGACACTATTAGTAATTAGCTGAGCTAAAAAAAACTCTCATTTCTGAGACTTAAGTACAATTGGTAAAAACAAAATGCCTAACTTGTCCCTTTAAACTTTTGCAATAAATTAAGTTGTAAGAAAACACATTAAATTGCACCTGCAATCGAATTGGACCATAAGCTCCCAGGTAAAGCGTTGAGCACAGTCACGTTTACATAACGATATCTTTTGAAGTCGCCAAGTCGGGTTCAGAAAAATCAACGAAAATGCAGAACATTACAATTTGTGTTGTTTTTTTGGTTTTAGGTAAGTTAGATATTTTATTTATTTAATTTGATATTATTTAATTCATTTTAAAGTGATACTACGTCATAGAATGAACATAAAATTTAATTCTCAAGAATGGTCAATATGTGTATATATTCATCAGTGAACTTACCTGGTGTCATAAAGTTACAACAGAATCCCTGTAAAATCTGGAAAATTGGAAAATTCATAAAACTAAGTAATTATTGAAAATCGCTTAATCATAATATTAAGCGTTTTTCAATAGTTAATTGCATTTTTATTAAGTTTTTTTTTGGATTTATTGAATTATATAAGGATTCTGTTATGTTATTTATGACACCAGGTATATCTACTGATGAATATATGCTCTTATTGGCCAAGTTTTAAATTTATTCTAAGACGTAGTATCACTTTAAAGAAATCAATATGATTTTATTGTTACAATTACAGAATATTTTATCGTTGAAAATATATTATCTATACAGTTATTGTCGAGTCGTTCTTTCTGTGATTAAATTTAAAACTTGTTGTTTTTTTCTTAGGCTCGTTCCTGTTTTTGACTGCTGGAGCTCAAGAGGCTCAAGAGCCTGTCAAATTAGTCGATATTTATGATGATCTTCCAGCAGGTATTAAAACCATAATAGATAAATATGACGCCGAAAAAGGTACAATCAACTATGAGACATTCCTAACCGAGTTGAAAAAAGTTGATGCTGATTATAAAATGTTGAAAGAGAAGTTGAAGCTTACAGATGAGCTTACTAAAGAGACTCTCCAAACTCTGTTTGAAGAATACAAAAGTAAGTATTAAAATAATATTCAATGTGGACTCTCAGAAATAGATGTCGAGCTGACAAACTTAAATATCAAATAAACATTATTAGCTATGTGGATTCTCTGAAAGGAATGTCAGAGGTTGACAAACTAAATACCAAATAAACATAATTATCTTTTTTACAGCGAGGGTTCAGCCTGCAAAACCGATGGTGAAATTAGCCGATATTTATGATGAACTTCCAGCAGGTATTAAAACCATAATAGATAAATATGACGCCCAAACAACTGACATCGACTATCAGGCATTCTTGGGGGAGTTGAAAAAAGATGATGCTGATTATAAAATGTTGAAAGAGAAGTTGAAGATAGAAACTATTTCAGACCTTACTGAAGAGAAACTAAAAACTCTGTTTGAAGAATACAAAAGTAAGTATTAAAATAATATTTGATGTGGACTCTCAGAAAGGAACTCAAAGGTGACAAACCTAAATATCAAATAAACATAATTATTTTTTTTACAGCGAGGGTTCAGCCTGCAAAACCGATGGTGAAATTAGCCGATATTTATGATGAACTTCCAGCAGGTATTAAAACCATAATACATAAATATAAAGCCCAAACAACTGACATCGACTATCAGGCATTCTTGGGGGAGTTGAAAAAAGTTGATGCTGATTATAAAATGTTGAAAGAGAAGTTGAAGCTTACAGATGAGCTTACTAAAGAGAAACTCCAAACTCTGTTTGAAGAATACAAAAGTAAGTATTAAAATAATATTTGATGTGGACTCTCAGAAAGATCTGTCCAATTGACAAACCGAAATATCAAATAAACAGTATTAGCTATGTGGACTCTCTGAAGGGGATTTCAGGTTGACAAACCTATATACCAAATAAACATTGTAAGCTATGAGGACTCTTAAAAAGGTCATCGAGTTTAGAGATCAAGTCGTGGCATCATGTATTCTGGAAGAGCAAGGGAAATAACCTTTTTATCTGGAGTCATATTGTAACTGTATGGAGGGCCATTCGTGCCAAAAATAGTCTGGTGTCAATTTGTACCCTGAGAAAAAATGGTGTCAAAATTAACTCGTCTTTTTCAGAGCCAGAGAATAGTTCAAGTAGAAATGGTGTTACTATAGTAACAGTTGTCATGGTTTCTGTGGTCTCAATGTTGGTACCCTATTTGAAATAATTCTGATTGTTTTATATTTTATCTTTGTGTTTGTAATATTTAGGGGGATGGGGTGGGGCTAATATTTAGTAATAATACTCAACTACACGCTTTTATAATGGAGGTCTAGATGTTGATGGTTTTTTCTTGAGGTTTCACTTCCCACTTATGATCTGGC